GGTGAAATTTACAATTGTCCATCTTGGTCTTACAGGTGTCTCTGGTATCCGTAGTATGCTCATCATGGTTCTGGAGGTTTTTGTAGGAGGGCCTCCTCCCCTCCGCCGCTCCCTGCCCTTCCTTTTTTGTCCATGCGATCGTTGTCTCGACAGTCCTCGGAAGTCGAGGGACCCGTCCGTGCTGTCCCTCCTGCCGCAGGGTCGCAAGGCGTTGTCCAGGTGTTGTCCCGAGGATAGCCCCGCGAGTCGGGGGTGCCTCTCCCCGCTCTCGGGATTAGTTTCTTTGTCGGCGCGCCCCTTCTGGCAATCGATCACCGCATGCCCACCGCAGCCTGAAGTCGGGCATTTCCCTCTACAGGAGGAGTGCTAAAGGATAGTAAAAGAAATAGTCAGGGGACGATTGATCGATCATGTTTTGACTGTTATTGGTCATGTCTTGTTTTTGTTTGACTATGTTTGATTGTTCGTCCAAAGTCCGCCTGCAGAGGGACATGCCCGACCTACCCGCAGCCATGACCCTGCCGTGCTGTCGCTGCTGCTGCTCCCGCTGCTCCTCCTCCTCCTCCTCCTCCGTCCACGCCTCCGCCTGGCCCCCCATGCCTCCCCGACGCCCGCCCCCGCCTCCTCCTGTCACCACCCACCAAACCACCCCAACCCAACCCGAAGGCTCAGATTTACCCTCGATTTCTAGTGTGGGGGGGTCCGGGAACATCGAACAATTACATATGGAGCCCATACCCCCCCCCCAACCCGAAATTCGGGTCTTCGGGTTGGGTTGGGGTGGTCTGGTAGGTAGTCATCCTGCGCTTCCCCTTCACCCCCTCCCCCCATCCTCCGCCTCGATGATCCTGCCGTCCCTCCTTCCCTCCCTCCTCCACCCCCATGCTCCTCCACTCCTCCCTTCATCCTCCTTCCCTCCCACCTTCACATCAGTCCTCCTGCTCCCCCCCGGCCCTTCGCCCTTCCTCCTTCCCTCCCTCCTCCATCTCCATCCTCCTCCGATTCTCCTGCGATCCTCCTTCGTCTCCTCCTCCCATCCGCCTCCCTCCTCCTTCCATCCTCCTTGCCTCCCTCTCCCGTCCTCGCCTTTCCATCCATCCTCCTTGCCTCCCTCTCCCCCTCTTCCTTCCATCCTCCTTGCCTCCCTCTCCTCCTCTTCCCTCCATCCTCCGGCCCCCTCCTTCCCCTCCCGCCCCCTCGCCGCTCCCCCCCTGCTCCCCCCCCCGCTGGGCCCCGGCCCCGCGCGGGATGGGCACCTCGGCCGTCGTGTGGGGTGCCCGGGCACCCCCCGGCCCTCCGCCGGCTCGGTCTGCCGCGGCCCCCCGGAGCTCTCGATAAGACAGGGCTAGGATCGGGATACATCGCTCCAGAGCGTTCCGGAGCGCTCTCAGAGCGTTCCGGAACGCTCTGGAGCGGCCGAGGCGCCCAATACATCCTCCAAACCCGCCGATTCTCAGAGGTTTCGAGTCATCCCGATCCGATTTTGTCCTGATCTTCGCGTCGGTTTACTCGACCCCTGCCCCCAGTCGGGCGTTGCGTCATTCGGGGGCGGCAGAGAGGGGGGTGATGACCAGGGGGGGGGTGGATCTCATGGCGCGGGCCATGATGTTTCCCCAGATCTCATGGCGCCTCTTCTTTCATTACGTCCCTGGCCCCCCCCCCCGCTGGGCCGCGCACATGCCGCCGGTCATGATTTGCACCCCCCCCCCTTGGACACCCCCCTCTTGGCCGCTCCCGAGTCATGGGGGGGGGCGATGGATCGTAAGGGTGGAAAAATGCACACCTTTCGGGCACCCTGGGGTCCCAAAGGGGCACGAAAGGTGTACGCATAAGTCGGGCCTGTTCCTCTGCAAGGGGAATCTTCAAAGATACTCCAACAAAAATAGTCTGGGTATTATTTGTTGATTATGTTTGGGCATCGTTCGGGTATTTTTGGTGTATTCTTTTATTTTTCGTCCAAAATCCTCCTGTAGGGGGACAGGCCCGACCTAAGTGTACGCTCTCCCCACCCCCCATGCATCGCCCCTCCCCTTTGAGCAACAACGGGCCGAGGGGCCAGCCTTCTCACCCTGGGCTTCTTGGGGAACTTTCAAGCTCGGGGGGCCCCGAAGTGGCCTCTGGGCACCCGATTTAATGCGTTCCGTAAGGGGGGCGGTAACGGGGGGGAACGAGGGCGTGCAGCAAAGGGCCCCACAAGAAGCCTCCTGGGGCCCCGACGGTGCGCGAAGAGTATACTCTCTGCCCCCCCCCGCTGGTGCCCCCCCATCAATCGGCGGCGAGCGAGGGGGGAAAGTGAGAGTGAGAAGGCTTTCTCAGAAGGCTCGGACGTCCCCCAGCCTTCTGAGAAGTTCTCTGAGCCTTCCCCGACGACAGATAGACTCCTCAGAAGGCCGGAGGGCTTCTAGGAAGTCCCGCCGCCTTCTGAGGAGGCCCTCTCCTTACGTTGCATCTTCGGGGGACCTGGCCTGTCCCCAAAATTTGCGTCTTTTCTTGTACCCGACACGGGCTCGATGCGGACTCGACACGGATTTGACGCGGATTCGACACGGACCCGACGAGTCCGACATGGATTCGACACGGATTCGACGCGGATAAGGCCGCGACGGGATAGACAAGGTCCCCCGAGGATGCAACATAACTCTCCTTCTCGCTTCCCCCCCTCGCTCGCCGCCGAGTGGAGCAACGCCAGCGAGCGTGCGACGCGCCTTCCGCGAGGCCCGGGGAGAGCGCGCGTGGGCGCCCGCCGTGTCGCAGGAGTGCGAGCTGATCCGACTCAGACTCGGCATCCACGTGCTGAACGTGGAGGCCCAAGTCCCGAAGCCGGTGGCGGGGACGGCGCCTCGTCCTCCTCCATCTCCTCATCCAAGTGCTTGGCATCGCTCGGACGTGTGCGTTTTGTTCCTCGGCGAGGACCATCGAGGAGCATCCTTGACCATCCGGCGAAAAAACCACGCACGAAACCGGAAAAAAAACACAGGGAATGGACGTCCGAGCGATGGCCAGAAGTGCCTTTCTTCGGCTACAAGTCCTGGGAGGTGAAATTCTGATGTTGCCCTGGTCCGAAATCCGGCTCAATCCCGTTTCATCCTGCGCAATCCCGCTTAATCCCGCTTAATCCGAGGCCCACCCCGGTGTAACAGCCCCCGAAATCGGTTAATCCTCTTGAGTCCTTCCGACGAAGACCTCCCAGTAGTTGCGTCTTAACCTTTACGAAGGCGCCTGGGCCCGCCATCCATGCCACTTCATAGGGACTCTCGTCCTGTTCTCGCTGCCAATGGGTGTCGTCGCTTGGATCCGCCCCCAGCCGCTTTGCCTTGCCTTGCCTCATCCTCCTCCCCTCCTCCTGCTCCCTCTTCTCCTCCTCTTCCTCCTCCCTCTCTTCCTCCTCCTCTTCCTCCTCCTCCTTCTCCTTATCCTCCATCCGTCTTGTTTTGTCATGATTGTTATCATTAGTATTGCTGTTCTTATTCGTCTTCATTATGTAATTCATGTCGCGCGGCAAGGCGTATTGGCAGGGCGGGCTGGGCGTTTCGCATGAAACGTCCGCACCGATGATGATCCTGACGCTTGGATTTTCTCACAGGGACTGAGCGTGCATATTTGTTTGATGTGGTTATCGCTGTAGCGCAACGCACACTCGTTTTCAGAGCTTCCAGCTGCTATATCGATTGAAGGCGACTGGTTGTCTTCATGTGGTTCTCTTTCTTGCGCCGTTCACAATCGTGTAACCACTTCTCAGTAGCTCCCAGGATGGATAGCGGTCATTGTTCAGCACGTGGTTTTCGTTTGGGACTTCAGCATTGATGGTAGGAGCGATTCGATTGCGCAGCATGACTGCGCAGGATAACGCTTAAGAATTGTGTTTGGGCCCTCTTCCCGCCTGCTTGTCGTTTCCCTTCCTCCCCCGTTCTTCTTGACCGTGCCGCTTCATCAACGAGCTTGGTCTCCTGATTTGGGCTATTCCTCATCACCCTATTCGTCGTCCTCATCTTCATCTACCTTTCTTTCCGCCCTCATCTCCTAACCTTCCTCCTGGCTCCCTACGAGCCCGTTCGGAAAATTTCCCGGCGATCACGGGCGTGACTGGCCCCGCGCCCCCCCCCTCCCTCACGCCACGGCGGTCGTCCGGTGGCGACCGCGGACGTCCTGTGGCGTTCGCAGGTTACTGTGGTGTTCAGAGGCACGCTGTGGTATTCGCGAGGGGAACAAGTTGCGTGCGTGCCGCGTGGTGCCCTCAGGGACGCAGTGTTGTTCTGTTTCTGAGAGGCATTGGTGCGTCGGTCGTAGCGCGGCGCTCGTAGCTGCCAGCGCTGTGGTGTATACAGGAACTGGAGCTCTTCCTCCTCCTTCTCCTCCTCCTCGTCCAGACTTTCTGATTAGAGTTTATGTGTATCCGGTATCGATTCGTTGATTTTTTGGCCTCCGGGCGCCCTGGGCCCCTCCAGGAGCCTTCTTGAGGCTTGGAACGGAACGATTCGAGTTCCTTTTGTATTTGGTGTCGATTCGCTGATTTTTTGGCATCTGGGCCCCCTGGGCCCTTCCCGGGACCTTAGGAATCCACTGCAAAAAGACTCCGATTGAAATTCTTCCACGGAAAGATCCCACTTGATATCCTCCGCAGACGGATTCGTATTGAAATTCTCGCAGAAGGAGGAGGGGGAAGAGAACGTGGAGGAGGAGGAGGACGAGGAGGAGGAGGAGGAGGACGAGGAGGACGAGGGGGACGAGGAGGGGGAGCCTGGAACGCAACGGTGACTCTTTATTTGTAACCGGTATCGATTCGTTATTTTTCTAGCCTCAGGGCGCCCCTGGTCCCTCCGGGGGCCCGGAACGGAACGATTGGAGGGAGTTTATTTGTATCCAGTATCGATTCGTTGATTTTGTGGCCTCCAGGCGCCCTGGGCTCCTGAGAGGGCCTTCCTGGGGCCTGTAACGGAACGATTCGTAGTAGTAGTAGTTGTATTATTATTATTATTAGTAGTAGTAGCAACAGTAGTGGT